TAGTTATAAACAATGAGACGAAGCTCTTTTTAAGAAGCGAAACCAAACTAAAGTAGTAGGTAGCCATTTTGGATAAAGCATACTGAAGTACTTTTGTGCATTAAACCATGTGGTTTTAAAGTACAGAGGAAGTCATGGTTCATTTGCAATAAGATCATATTTGAAATTTTTGGCAAGTTAACCTTATATTTATAAACATTATGGGGTTAGTTTACTTGACTAGATATATTACTGTGCGGACATGTACATTGAGAAGGAACCTGCTTTTAATCACCACAAAAATGTAGAAGGTTCGGCAAAGTATTTACTATGTACTGTAAAACTACTGTGTACTGTAAAACTACTGTGTACTGTAAAACTACTGTATACTGTAAAACCTTTCACAGAGGGAGGGTATTTGTTGGTAGTTATTTACAGAGTGGGAGGAAAACTAGGGAGCAGAGTACTGGTTAACTGGAAGAAAGTTTGATGGGGGGGGGGGGGGGGGGGTATTGTCAGTTTGTTTATCAGTTAATGTCATATCTTAACATATCTCAAACATTCCATATTTTAGTTGCTTCATCGAATTTATTGAATTCTGTCAAAATGTGGTTGCTTGACTGTCAAAAAAGATTGATATGATACAAGATTTTTGCATGTATATTTAAGGTGACTGACCCTCGATTAAAAATGAAGACCATTTCATGAAAAAATGACATGCCACCACCCTGTAAAAAGCTGTTTGCCTCATTTGACAAAATTATGTAATATTGAGATGTTTTGAGCAAAATGGGTAAAATATGGATTTGGCCCCCTTTTCAGATATATCATGGATGATAATGTCCCCTGGTTTTCTGTATCTATAACCTGGCATTGTGCTAAATAGAACATCCTCCAATCACAGGGCTTCAAAATCCAGAATATATTCTTTCTTTTTACCCCCTGCGATAAGCAGTTAGCATTTCCCTGATTAAGAACTCGCAATCTGATTGGCTGTCGCAATACTGCGACAGAAATCATGAATAAGTCATTGCGCATAAAAAGATCACGTGATTCAGTTTAATCGGGCGCTTCCAAATTGGTTATAGCAGGGGGGGGGGAAAGAAGGAGGTACGGATTCTGGATACCTGCTTAGGAGTATGTATATAGAATGGAAAACAACGATTGTGGATGAGATGCAAGACTATTGAATGTTACAATTATTGGATATTTGTATGAATTCTCAAGTTTCTCTATAGGTCTATTTCTCAACCATGTACTAGAAAGAGGAGTTTGGGTGGGGGGGGGGCACTAAAAGACGTAATCCAGGACTCTACATGAACACCATATACAGGAACACCTGTCAAATCTGAACATCACTTATACTGGCTTAAAGTGTTCAGATTTGAAGGTGTTCACATTTTAAGGTTTTCAACAAGGAAGTCTTAATAATGACAGGTTAAAAATGTGAAAAGAGAGGTGTTCAGAATAAAGAGGTGTTCATATTATACAGGTTTTACTGAAAAATATGTCTTGCAGGTTACACTATTTCAAATATGTTCATCTCAAAATGGTTTAACTGTAATTTCTGTATGTACTTTATATAGCTGATTAAATTCCTCAAAGTCTTAGATAATGTCTTAAAATAACATTTTGAATTCCTGGTTATCAAGTGATTACTAGATTTTTGTTTTCATTTGAGGTTTAAGTTTCTGGCTAGTATCTGGGGTGACCTTGTTCTGATTTTAACTCAATGCTTTCATGTAGTCATGGAATCATAAAGTGGTTCATGTTTTAGAACACAGACTGTAATGAGCATTTTCACTTGATTGATTTTGTCCTTTAAAAGATATCTTCATAACTGGTTGAGTGATATGTCTCTTTCTCAACCCATTACATTAGATATTGCTTCTTAAAAGAGAGTTTCATTAACATTAGTTTCTTACAATTAAGGTAATAATTCAATCACATGACCATGAAAATCACATTTATTTCTGATTGGATTTGATTTAATGACTTCAGAATACTATTAATTGGTAGGACAGAATAATATGTTGATAGAGTTACATAATACGTTACCCTTTGCTTTCATTTCACCTTAGTTCTTAAAAAGATAGTTTTGTCGTAAAAGTTAAAAACCGGTCTTAACTGGTTTTCCATGGTTTCTGATTAGACTTTGAAAAAAGTACCATGTATAGTCAGGGTATAGTTAGTTTAACACCCTTTATAGTCAGGATAGCTAGTGCAACATCGTATGTAGTTAGGGTAACACCATGTATAGTCAGGGTAACACAATTTATAGTTAATGTTACACCATGTATAGTCAAGGGTATATAGTTATCCCACCCTTTTCCTCTTTTTTATCCATTTGAGACTGCGCAAAGAGTTTATAAACCCTGAAAGTCAGAGTCTAGATGACGCTTTCTTTCAGACTATTGGAAAGGGTACATGGTGCTAATGTTACATCCTGCAAACAGAAAAATTAATATGATCTTAAATGTGCATGTATGATATGCCAATCTGTAAGGGTATGTTATGAATTGAATGCTAATCCAAGCAAATCTATGTTGCTTTAGAAGTATAAATCTCGTCATACAAAATATCCAATTCTGGAATTATTGAATATTTGCTTACAAAAACTCTTAACAAGTCATAAACATACTTCGAACAAAATGCTTAACTTAAAGGTTAGATATATACAAATATATGTACATATAAAGTAGAAATAGTTAAAATAGCTTGTGGGCTAATTTAATCAATTTTAAATAATGATGAAATGATGTACTATATGTAGTGTATCCTTCAAGAGTAAAATTTATTGGCTCATTGCCAACTGATGTTCAGTGCAATGTCAACACCAGCTGTGGGAATAAATGTTTAAATTTCGTGCTTTTTCATGCAAACAAACTTCTAAAGGGGAGAAATCAGAGAGGAATTATATAAAGCCACATCTGTCGAATTGGGATGTTACTGGAATATTGATTAATAGAAAATGAGCGAATTTGACATCGAAGAGGACGAGATTTATGTGGGGGCAGGGAATAGAATGGTCTACTATTGGCCGATTATTGGAAATTAGAACAACTGGAGAAATCTGTATTCACAGTTGATACCACAGTGGGTCTTATAGCAGGTGAATTTGTACAAAGATAAAAGGAGATAATACAGACCCGCTATCTATGTTATTAAGAAAACGCTGAGAAAACTTGGATACACAGTGTGTTTACAAATCAGAATTTGGAGAACCAAACACCAATTCATTTTGAAAATATACAATTTGTATATTTACAGAGGGATATAATACTTTGTTGTAATAACGAAGGTGAAATTATAGATTGATAAAATTGGATAATACAAACTGCACTATCTAAGTTGTTATAGCAAACTTCATAATTGCATATTTAGTGTACCTAGCATACTATCTAGGATTTTGAAGGGCAAACAGAAATTCATTTCAAAAGTTATTTCATTCTCGACTCAAGTGTGTTTCATTCCCATTAAACAAAGGGGACACTTTAGAACTTGAATAGGATTAGCAATAGAGGATAATTTACTACAGAAGATAATTCATTATAGAGGATAATTTACAATGAACAGAGGATAATACACAATAAGAGTTTAAAAAATTACAATAAAGGCTTATACAATATTAAAGAGGATACAGCAGAGGATTCAGAAGAAAATTAAATCTGTATGTACAAACCCTTAGATCCAGAAGTTCATAGTACAAATTACTATGCTCTGAGTGAATAGATGAAACCCTCTTTTGGGTGTAAAAAGCAGGTCATAAAATCAGCGAAAACTCCATCTTTGCCTGACATCTCTTAAGTTGTAAACTTCCATACCATGCTATTACGTCATGCAATCAGTGTGTAATTAGCACATTTAATTAGCATGTGTAATTAGCGCACACTGAGCCTTGATTGAAGAATAAAGCAGTAGGACCAGCTAAACCAAGCTTATATCAAAAGAATAATTTAGAATTATAAATTAGAATACAAGTTTAATATAAATACCAAAGCTAGTATTAATTATATGAGCTGGCTTTATGTGTCAAAGGTACAGTATCTGAGGTGAATATACATACATGTATGTATATTGATATAAATAGAATTAAAGTGTTGTGACTTTAATTGAATAATATTGCATTTTAAAAGCTGGCTATTTTAAGAGCTGGATGTAAACTTGAAATACATTGGAAACATTAATAAATACAGAATAGAAAAGTAAACAAAATATCGATGTATACTGCAGAAGTCTTTCATCAAGCTCTGGAAACCAGCTAGGCTGAGTGAGATTCACATCTATATCTGGATTTTAATAGAATTGATGCATATCTGATCTGGATTTAACAAAAGGAAACTAGCATCTCTTCCTCTACAGTATCTTAAAAGGCAATTTTTTTTGACTTGTATATAGGACTTCAGAGGCTGAGTTTCTCTGCTAGACCAAGTCAGCCTTACATCTCTGGATTTTTACCATCAAATCTAGATTTAACACACAAGGAAGCCAGCATCTAAGCAGTTTTTTGTCTTGTATACAGGACTTCAGAAGCTGAGCTCCTCTGCAAAGCTGAGTCAGCCTTGTATCTCTGGATTTGTAACAGTGTAAACATAGTAAAGTATTTACTAGCAGCTCAGCATCAAATCTGGATTTACCATAAGGAAGCCTGCATCAACTGTCTAACAGTTTACACAAGATTTTAGTATTCTACACTTTTGACGCTTCCTTCTGACTTTAGATCGACATATTTTGGAGGCTCTTTCAGTTTTGACATCACTGATCAGTGATCATTGAGTTTTGACATTATAGAGTTTTGGCATCGCTGAGTTGTGATTTGGTAATAAGCAGCAAGATAGCCGTTATAAGTTGTAATCTAGTTTTGGATGATTAAATCTTCTTGGCAAGGTTTACTTCACAGCAAGTAACAATCATACATAACTGGGATTTACAGTTTAGTAGTGTAGCACATCTTACTGTTACAGGACAGTATAGCCGATCCATATTTAGATATAGGATATATTGTGTTGTAAACCGTTACAATGAGTACCAAGGACACGTCAAATAATTTAATTCAGGCTGGTGTTACAGCTAACGGAACAGGGACAGGTTCTCCATTAGATAAATACCGCTCGAAATATCGACGTAATTTAAACAAGGACGAAAACGGAGATAATAACGGAAACTTGAGAGAAACGAACGGATTTAGCGAGCATAAAGGGATGGATAATCGGACAGATAATAAAGGATACGTATCCCCGAGGAATTCCTTGTACGATAAATATGCATCGGGGTCATCTAAGTATGTCCCGTTAAGCGAGCGATTGGCTGCTACTGCCAGTTTACATGCACAGACAGCCAATGATAAGCCGGTTGAGGTTAAGGAGGCATCGAGCGTCTCTAAAACTACCCAGCCTGCTGTGTCTAAGGCAGCACCCCCTGTATCAAAGGCAGCACCCCCTGTATCTAAGGCAGCGCCCCCTGTATCCAATCAACAGCCTCCAATGTCGAAACCAGCTCAGCCACCAGCATCTGTAAGTTTATGATAGTCTTAATACAACAAGTCTTTGGTCATTTGGTCACACTTCATCTTGTTGTCCCCCCTTTTTTACCATTTTCTTTTTAAGACGAAGATGAATATAAAGTGGAACGGGAGGCAATTTTTTGTGACTGGCATTAGGCTTTTTTCTATGTCACCACCAAAAAGTGGTGACATATATTATGGCTGTTAATGATTGGTGCTTGGCAATCTGTGTTTGTAACAAATGGTGGTGACATTTTGCATGTTAATGCTTTCTTTAGTTTCTTGTAAGGCTGATACAGAAAGTAGAGAGTGATTTGGGGGGAGAGATTTGATACTTCCTGTAAGTTGCCTCAAGCTCGTGTATCCCATGATTCCTTCTTACATTTGTGTAAGAAACTGATAGGAGGGGGAGGGGGGGGGGCATAAGGAATTTATGATGATCATATTTCATCAGTGTAAGAATGTGTATATAAGGGCTTGACTATGTTAATAAGCAGAAGGGCTTATACAGGGCTTAGTTCAGTAGGAAATAGTGAGAAATAGTCAAACATATACCCAAGGTCAGATTGAAAATATTTGCTCTATGTCTTAACCTACAACTTAGGTTTCCTATAGCCAGGAAGTATACCAGATTAGATGAGATGGGAAGGGTGAGGGGGTCTATGTATAAGGACTTAGCATTTAGAATCTAAATCATGTTTTCATATACCAATCACAGATCAATCTCTTGCTGGGTTACCCTGAAGCTTACTACCTGAGAGGCTAGTTATTATTACTGCAGATGACACTACCCTTTGAAGAAATGAAATCAAGCAAATGGTACAATTTATTGGTCATAATCTCTGATGTGTGAAATACTCTATAGTATATGCTCACCTTAACAAAATACACACAAAAGTAGTAGATAAAAAGTAGATGAAAAATCAAGACATGAAAAGCTGTAAATATTCAAAATGACAAAAGAAAATCAAGAACCAATTTAGTAATGTAAATTAGGCAAGGGGATGGGGGGGGGTGTAGTGGCAGGAAATGGGGGGGGGGGGCTGTAATAGATTGATGTAGCACTATTTATGCTCAGCATATTTCAAGTAGAGCCTAACCTGACAACTGGCTATTTGATATGGTTTATCTTATGTTCTCAACTGATTTATGACTCAGGATGGTTTATCATGTTTTTTATAAGGTGATATTTGCACAGTTTTACCCTGGTTTAGAATCAGTCAGCTACACAGCCCTCTGACTTTAAGAGACTGATTTAGGATTTTATAAATTTCTTTGAGTCTAGATATAAATGGCAAATCTTTGAAACCGGTATAACTGAACACCTCCCTGATTCAAACACCTCTCAATGTGAACACCTCTAAATGTGAACACTTTCTCAATCCCAATTTTGTTATCTCCCATAGACTCTTCTATTAAAGGCCCAATGTGCTTATTTTAGCAGAAAAAATAAGAAAATAATCATTGAAACATGAAAACTTGAAACTTGATCACCTGCTAATCCAAAAACTTTTTGCATGTCCGGTTTATCTGACTTCATGGTCTGATTGGATTATAGGCAACACAAAGTTGACTATTTGTGAAGGGTAGTCTTTAATCTAGTTACATTCCCGAATCAGTAAAGGTATTAGCTCACCTGGGGGGATGTGGGGGGGGGGGTTGGCTCGCAGTTGCTTTTGGTAAGGGTATCATCATGTTTATAGGCTTGAGATAAAAAGCGAACATTATGTAAATATTCTATATTTTGATAATATCTGTTTCTAGTCATCATCCACTGGTATCCTGTTACTTGTTTTAACTTGTCAAAATTTGACAGTAAAACTTGTCTAGATCACGTACATCCTGCTGGGAACAGATAAACTCATACTCGTTTCCAAGTTTAAACCAGCAATCAGAGTATTTGGGTTAGTAAAGTCTTATCTGAACTCTACTTAGACAAGTAAAAAGTGTTCAAATTGGTAGGTGTTCATATATCAACGTTTTTTAACATGATAGTTTTTGGCCACCATGACATCTCAAATCTTCTCAGCCCTGAGATGTTTCAGGTGAAACAGAAAGATGCTGTGAGTATCAGAATGGTTTTTGGCAGATTGAAAAAATTTGAAGTTAAAAGGTGTTCACAATTATGGGTGTTCAGAATAGAGGGGTGTTCTCATAACTCAAAATATAAAACTGTTCATGTCAAAATTTGACTCTTAAAGCTGGACTACGCTCCGAAACGCAATCTTGGGTTGTTTCGGGGGTGAACTTTATCATTTTGAGCTTATTATAGAATGATGAAAAAATGGGGCAAATCTTGTGTATAAATACTTACGATAAATGTGTCATTTCAAAGATTTTTCATTGAATTTGCTTCGATCGGTGCCGGCGATATGATTTTGGAAAGGTTTCTAAATGAAGAACGTGACGTCACTTCCGAATCATAGCATTCAAAATAAGTAGCGTTTAATTAGTCACTCCATACGTAATAATACGGTGGTGTAGGGGTAGAGTCCTCGCTGAGCACGCGGGAGGCCCGGGTTCGAATCCCGCATTCGCCTTTTTATTTTTTTAACTAAATGATTGTTCTTTGATATTACGCAGAAAAACCAATTTTTATTTACATAAACTTTATATTAGAGCTTGAAAATGTTAAAACAATATATGTCAACATATTGCGTTTTGGAGCGATGTGCAGGTTTAAGGTTGAATTATCTTTGCGTAATTCCTTCCTAGTTTCTCTAGTTTGAAAACACAAAAATGTGATGAGTATCTGAATGGTTGTTCAGTTTAATATCTAAAAATTGGTTCTAAAATGGTGATAACTTTTCAAGAGTAGGGTTCACATGGAAAAATTTTACTGTACATTAATCTAATAATCCAATATAATCTTATAATCTAATTACTAAAATTAATTACTGTTGTATAAACAAGGGATTAGTATAGTGTTAAAACCCTGTATACACCCCCCCAACCTATCTCCTATATTAATCTTAGAGCATCTTGAACAAAGAGAGTCCAGCTTGATAATCATAATATATTTCCAATGGAATATTGTTCATTAGTACAATCTCACTATTGAATAAATATCTGAGGTCACTCTGACATGGCTTTCATTATCTTAAAGACCTTTAGGCTCTTATAAATTATGGGTCTGGTTTGACCGCCTGGTCATGTAAAACCTTTATATGGTCATCCAAATCCTTTTTTTTTATCTAGAACCTCACAAACTTTTTTATTCATATCATAGTTAGGTTTTACTCCTATTTTGGCATGTACAACTCATATTTTGGCATGTACAACTCATATTTTGGAAGAAGAATGAAGGAATGGCATATCACCTGTTCTTAAATTTTCAAATAAAATTCCAAATAAGCAAAATATTAACTTTTCGTGGCCTAAAGTGCTATAAATTATTGCCATAATATCACTTTGTCCATAGTCCACATAGACATTTTCTGTGGATATTGGTTAACATGGCTCTTTTTAATTAAGGCATAGTCCTGTATCTGACCCCGATTTCCCCATTCACTCTCTTATACAGTGCAGTGTTGAATAGAGATTGGAGGGGGGGGGGGGCTGAACTGTTGAAAAGGTATCTACAGAAATATGAAGTTTCACAGACACTTCTTCCTATAGAAGTGAACTTAAGCTTTAGATAAAGAGGGATTCTGATCAATGAGAATCTACCCTTCATTTTCTAGCTTCAGGGTAGATTTGGCTTTGACCTTTTGGTCGTTAACATTATGGTTTATGTACATTTAGGAAATGGATTTCTTAAAAGATTGGCAACTTTGTCTATTTGACTAAATTGGCAGGTCTTGGGCCAAATCCTAGCAAAAATGTCAAGATTAAGGGAGCTCTGCACATTCACCGAAAAAAGTTCAAAATTCTTTGAAATATTTTGATTTTTGAACTATATGCATTCTACCATAAAAGTAAATGCCGCTTTAGAATTGAGAAAAATATTACCCTTTTTCATAAATTATTAGTAATTTTAATAAAAATGTCCACCATGTGTTCTACCTTATAAGCTTTACCTTTTTGTCCTTGGAATATTTGAGTAGGCCTTATGGCTGGATACATGCCATTTAATTTCAATGTTTCATACAATTATTTATCAGATAACATGTTTCATCTTTACTTGTTATCCAATTTCATTATTTGATATCATATCTGATATCCTACCAATATTACCTTGATATTCATGAATGAACTTGAAATGTTATTGCTAAAATATGTTCAAAAAATGCTTGTTAACAGAAATGTCAGTGTGTAATTGGTTTTTATATAGTGTATAAAGTTGAATTAAATATTTTCAGTGTTGGCTATTTACATCTAACAATTTTATGAATGATTTTGTCAAGGTCATATTTCTTTCAGCTTCTTATAAATAGAATTCTGTTTTATTAGCTCGACAGGAAGTGATTTTGTTTGGTGTTTTTATAGCAGTGTTTTCACCAAAATTGTTTGATGATTTTATCAATGAAATTTCAAAATGTACATTTGCTTAAGAGCTATTTTCAGCCTCTTTGCTTTTATTGAGAGAGGTTTGCCCTTTGACTTGCATATTCAATAATTGAAACCCCATGTGTAATTCCTAAGCCATAAAGTATAACCTCATAATTGTGCCATACAAAATTAAGGTTCACTCTATACTGTCATTGCTAACTAAGTGTAGATGGGTGGTAATAGGCCATTTAGTTAATTATAAAATATGCCCAGTACATCATATTTATATTAAAAAAATGTTCTAATATTATAAGTTATTGAATGATTTGAAGTGCAATACAGGATATATTCTGCTCGAGAAATTCCGTATTGGAACGAGACAAAGTCGAGTGCCAATACAGAATATCGAGACAGAATAAATCCTGTATTGCACTACAAATCATTCTATAACGTTTTTATCGTGTGATCCTCTGTATTGCTACTGAGAATGACCCCTCCGTACCAATTTTCTGTATTGCGACGGAGATGATCAACGGGGACAATTTCAGTAGCAAAACAGATTGGTACAGCACAAGAACTGACGAATCAGAAGGCTTCATTTTACAGATCATACGATAAATTCAAATACATGTATTCAAAAAATCAAGGGCAATGAAGTGGGTGGTCTACCTGTTGAATATATTACAATCCAGGCAGTAAATATATGATTTATCAAACTTATGCCTGGGTCACATTTACTCCGATTCATGGGCCGGGTGCCGGCTAATTGAGTATTTTGTGCAAAACTACATGCAATTTTGAACAAAACACTCAATCGGCCAGAAGCTGGCAGATAAATTGGTACAAATCAGTGACCCAGGCATTAGAAAATCAGTTATCAAAATACTGTACCCTTAGTGTAGATGTACATGCAATATTATATGGAAAATGCTGCAGTCCTATTTTTGAAATAAAACCTTTAGAACACTGATGTGTTCTAGAGTGGGGAAATATTCAAAAGTATCCCATATAAGGGAATTCTTGGTCAAGAAAGGCAAGGAGCATTTAAAACCTTTTGGGATGTTATTATACCTAAGTATAAAACATATTATCACCCATTTCTTGACCAATCACATTGGACTATTAGCCTGGGGTAGATACTAGCATAATGTTCACATCAATAAATAATGTTTCAGGGTCAATATGTCATGTTGATGTCACTATATGTTATATTGATGTCACTATACATCATGTTGATGTCATCTTAAAGTAAGGCTGTCATTTATTATCTCCATCATCAGTTGGTGTCTTGCAAGTTATATATGTTTCACTGATCTCCTCAGCATTTTAGATGAACAAATGGGCATCAAAAATTGTGGTAGTGGGAGGTCTAAACGCCAACGGATTTGGTTGAATTTTTTTGTCCTTGCTTTCCTTTATCAGGAGGCCAACTGGGCAAAACTCCATCTTGATTTGAAAAAAAAAGTCAAAAAGTGAAACACCCTAATATACATACACATTTTTCGTGTGTGAAATAGTGGCTTACTACCTGACATCATAGTTAAGAGTCTGATGGCTTAGCTAAGTTAATTCTTTTCATCCTTGACGGACTCATCATATTTAAGGTGGCAGTGAAGGATAGAGAGAGAGAGAGAAACGCTGAAAGCACTCTTCAAAAATACTAGTATGTCAGTGTTTTCCCTTTGCAGCCTAAAAACTGAAAAATGAGAAAGCTGATCAAATACGTCTTAATTCAGAGGTGATGTTGCTTCATATTGCCACCTTAGAAATCAATGTTGGAAAAAAGATGTGGGAATTAATTAATTAAGAAATGGATATGGAAATGTGTTTTTCTTCAAAAGGCACTTGCAAGAATAACATGTGGCAAATCTCCAGCCTTGTTGCCTTTTTATGTGTGTTAACAGGCAATTTTTCACAGGATATAAACCCATATTTATGGGGTGGTCATTTAGCCCTGAAGGTCAATTGAAGCTTGTCATGAGTCCGGTGCACTTTATCAAAACGGCTTCCTTTTCAGTCATATAGTCAGTTGTTAACATTGGGGTATATAATTTCTCCAGTTGACCTCTTCAAGTTACAAACTGTTGACTTCTATTCTCCAATCTGTTTCTCTCTGGAAGTTTAATTGTGTGTTTTTTAAAAGTTCCCCTTCTTCAAAATGTTGCTCTTCTTAAAAATGTATCCCTTCTTTAAAATGTTGTCCTGCTTTAAAATGTTGCCCTGCTTTAAAATGTTGCCCTTCTTTAAAATGTTGTCCTTCTATAAAATGTTGCCCTGCTTTAAAATGTTGTCCTGCTTTAAAATGTTGCCCTGCTTTAAAATGTTGCCCTTCTTTAAAATGTTGTCCTTCTATAAAATGTTGCCCTGCTTTAAAATGTTGCCCTCCTTTAAAATATTGTCCTTCTATAAAATGTTGCCCTGTTTTAAAATGTTGCCCTTCTTTAAAATGTTGCTCTTCTTCAAAATGTTGCTCTTCTATAAAATGGAATCCGTTTATTTAAATATTTCCCTTCTTTAAAATGTTTGTCTGTGATTTCAGTTAAACACAAAGAGAGACGCATTCTTCAAGAACGACCCTGCCCCTCCAAAGTTTGAATATTCAGGAATACGCGAACGGGACAAAGATCGTACAGAGCGTGACAAGGAACGTGAACTCATGTTGGAACGAGCGCAAGAACGCATTAAAGCCCCAGCGCCATCTTTACCTAACAAAGAGTCTCCTACAGTTGATGGATATGTCGGGTTCGCTAATTTGCCGAATCAAGTTTATAGGAAATCAGTGAAAAAAGGATTTGAATTTACTTTAATGGTTGTAGGTAAGTCAAGAAATAAAAATATTTAATCTTTCTTTCAAGCCCTCGTGACCCCCCCCCCCTCCCCTTTTGCAAGCATATATCTAGTATCTCATCTCTGAAGCTGTAAAACACAGGGGAAGGGTTTTAAGATATAAAAATTGAGATAGATAGAATATATTTATGTATCCTATCTGAGATGTGTATATATATGTACCTTGTAGGTGTTTATTTCCTAAATATGCAAATTACATCTTTTCCATATTTCAGAGGACAAAGACTAGATAAAAAAATTATGTCAGTGATGGCCTCCCTAAAATAACTTGAAAATCATTTTTAAGAGGACATGTACTTGATTTAATCATATATGCACACATTTTTTTAATGTTCTCATCATGAGTCAGTATTGGGACATAAACGTTATGGTTTAAAATATCTTTTCCGAACAGGGAGAAGAAGCAGAGACTAATAATACAAAATTTGTGAGAGAATTCAGAAATTATATTTGGGTCGGCAAACAGATATTCCTCTCAGAGTCCCCTCAGTTTTGGGACATTAAGTTATGGTTAAAGTATCCTTTCCGAACTGAGAGAAGAAGCAGAGAATAAATACAAAACTTATTTTATTTTAGACTGTGAGAGATCTTAGAAATATTTGGGTGGACATGTACTTGATTTAATCATATATGCACTAATTCGGATGTTCCTCTTAGAGTCCCCTCAGTTTTGGGACATTAAGTTATGGTTAAAGTATCCTTTCCAAACTGAGAGAAGCAGAGACTTAATACAAAACTTTTTTTTTTTTAGACTGTGTGAGAGAACTTAGAAATATTTGGGTGGACATGTGCTTGATTTAAACATATATGCACTAATTCGGATGTTCCTCTTAGAGTCCCTTCAGTTTTGGGGCATGAAGTTATAGGCTCTTTCTGATACCTCTAGGCCAAAATTAAACTTATTCCCAGCTGATTTTTCCAGATGAATTGTCTCCAAAATATGTGATATTTCATTGCTGTTTATGTATATATTTGTAATATCAGTGCTTTATGTGATATCATATCCATGAGCTTGATTATTTTACAGAATTTGGAAATGTTACCCAAAAATCATTGGGTAAATCCAATTCTTAAAAATACAATGTATTTGTCAACGGTTCAGTGAAGAATTTTTTAAAAAAGGAGAGGATAAATCTAATATCTTATTGACAATTATTGCTCATGAATGAATTTAAAGAAGGATGGGATTAATCTAATATCCAATATCATAGTACTGCATGGACAACATTTTACATGATTTGATTTTATTAAATCTTATTATATCAACTCATCGATGTCAAAAGTATCACTCAAATATTGTTGGCAGACTCAATTGATTATTAACTTTTCTTGGCACCTTTTGCAACTCAGTCTCATATTTTTGAGTTATTTTATTACAATGATAGACATCTTACATCAATATAGTATAAATATAACCATGAATTATCTGACTAGTGATGTAACCGTTTTTGGATTAACATAACCTTATACTTAACATATTGCATATATGTACATGTTAAATGGTAGTTCATTGCCATCCGTTTTTTACAGTTACAGGGGTTTCATATTAGCAGCAGGCAACAGGCAATTCTCACTGGTTGTTTTCATATAACCGCCTGTTGTTTTCAAGGACTTTTCAACTTTTTCACATTAAATTTATGATTTTCATCAATTTTGCCTGTTGTTTTCAATTGTTTAGCCTGTTGTGATAAATTCTGTGAGTGAACCCTCCCCCCTCCCCCCCGAGTTCTGACTTTTGCTGTTTAGAAGCTCAAAATGACTCAAACTAGCAGGTGATTTGGATTGAATGTGAAATGGAAACTTCTCAAATAAAACGTCATGTTGACATTTCTATAACAGGCACACTTCCATAGCTCTAAATGTTGAATTGTTTTTTGTTAAACAAATATATGGATCAGTTACAAGTCCTTGTTATTGTGTACAATATCAATTTCCACATTTTGGTTTTGTTTCATTTTTTATAATGTGACGAATAGACTTTGACTTTCTGGCTTTCAAAAAGGTTTTAATTCAAGAGTCAAAACTCTAAAGAAAAAATGGCTGAAAATGGCAAATTTAATATTGATTAATTTGACGTATCTTTTTGTTTTTCCCAATCTGAGTACTCGTTCCCTAAACCGTGAAGACGTTGAGGCTAGGGACAACGTCTGTTCTGAATGTTTCAGACAACATCTAAAAATTAATGCAGTCTTTTATCTAATAGCTCAAGAAAATAGATAGTTCACAATATTTTAAGGTCATAGTGTGCTTAATGAGCTACAGTTTCTTTACCTGATCAAATACATGAATGCTTTTAAAGTACAATTCAATAAGAGAAGAGATAGTTCACAATACTTTAAAGTCCTATCATCTTCAACAGGCAACCGTTTCTTTACCTAAACAAACACATTAATATATTAATGTTTAAATATTTTTTATATATTTTTATATATTTTTTTTACTAATAGGCACTGACCTTAGTTCAAATCAATAAGAGATAGTTCACAATATTTTAAGGTTAAAGCGTGTTTAACACTGCTACAGTTTCTATATCTAAACAAACACATTAATGTTTTTAAAGTATTTCTTATATATTTTTTATTATATATTTACTAATAGGCACTGACAAGTTCAAATCAATAAGTCAACTCTTCTTTGTGTTAGGGTCAATTGTAGGTGCATTAATGCGTTCAGGGTTGTGATTCTCTTAAGGTGTGGGATATCAAAGCCTAGTTTGAATGCCGTGATTTATGACATAAAAACTTGGCCGCTCATTTAAAAATGGCGGCCATTTTAGTGCCGATTTTACAGTAATTTAGGTGCAATATGTAAAACTGTAATACCAATATGTTTTAAATGTAAAAAAAATTATATAGGACATTAATAAAGCTAGAAATGTAGATATTAAAAAAGCACATGGCAGCCATCTTGAAAAATGGCGGCCTTTTCTCGTTATTTTACGATTTTTGCTATAACTCGAAAAGTAGTGGAGCGATTTTGTTCATATTTGGTATTTGAATACTATAAGCATGGCACACTGTCTAATGACACTTTTGGTAGAAGGCGGCCATTTTGAAAAATGGCGGACATTTTGAAAAATGGCCGCCATTTTAACTTATTTTACTAAAACTCGAAAAGTAGTGGAGCGATTTTGTTCATATTTGGTATGTGAATACGTATAAGCATGGCACACTGTCTAATGACACTTTTGGTAGAGGGCGGTCATTTTTCAAAATGGCCGCCATTTTAACGTATTTTACTATAACTTGAAAAGTAGTGGAGCGATTTTGTTCATATTCGGTATGTGAATACTGTAAGCATGGCACACTGTCTAATGACACTTTTGGTAGAAGGCCGCCATTTTGAAAAATGGCGGACATTTTGAAAAATGGCTGCCATTTTAACTTATTTTACTATAACTCGAAAAGTAGTGGAGCGATTTTGTTCATATTTGGTACGTGAATACGTATAAGCATGGCACACTGTCTAATGACACTTTTGGTAGAAGGTGGCCATTTTGAAAAATGGCCGCCATTTTAACGTATTTTACTATAACTCGAAAAGTAGTGGAGCGATTTTGTTCATATTTGGTATGTGAATACTATAAGCATGGCACACTGTCTAATGAGACTTTTAGTAGAAGGCGGCCATTTTTCAAAATGGCCACCATTTTAACGTATTTTACTATAACTCGAAAAGTAGTAGAGCGATTTTGTTCATATTTGGTATGTGAATATTATAAGCATGGCACACTGTCTAATGACACTTTTGGTAGAAGGTGCCCCTTTTGAAAAATGTTCGATGGGATTCGCTACGCTTTGGCGTTGCCGTTGTTCTGGTTTAGATTAGAGTTACTTTTCAATATATCAACTTCTAGATCTAGAAGAAGTTTTTTATGTCAACACCAGATAGAAGTGGTGACATATTGTTATAATCTCTAATATTTTTGGAAGTTAGAGTTTGGTGTCTGTAACAAATGGTAGGTTGTGACATTTTGCAAATAAATGCCTCGTTTGTGAAATCCTATTGGTATTGAAACTATATATTTATTCAGAGAGTAGAAGTTACAAGCCTTCGAGCCAAAGGGTAGATACAAATTCACTGTTTTTTACTGGACATTAGTAAATGCTCATCCTAGTCTTTTCTTTCATAAAGCAACCTTATCATTACACCTCAGAGCCTAGTTCACAAGTACTTGACAAAATCAAACTTTTGAAAAGGATGCACAGAGTAAATTGCTGTATAAATTAAGAAGCTAGACTATGTAGTCATCCTCCAACAGTAACCTTACTGTACTGTTTTACTATGGCATTTTACAGTCCCATTGGTACAGTACTGCACTGTGAACACTGTACAGCACCTACCCTGGGTGCAGAGTAATGTAGAGTTATAAATGACCCTCTGTCTAGCATAGACTAAATTGCTATATTACAGAGGAAATGACCATATAGAAAGTCTTCTGTATTGCGATGACAAACTCTGATTGGCTCGGTGAGATCAGAGATTTATTGTACTGAACTGAAAGAAATTGACAGAAGCTCTCTTTTGAGAAGTGAAGTCGAACAAATGCAAATTATAAAGCACTATACTCGAACTGCACTGTATGTTACCATAATTTGAGGGTGCAGATGTGGGGTCTGTATATTCTGGATGTCAGAGCCTTGTATGTTTAACAAAATCACACCATATTAGAAAGGGTACTAGATGTAAAATGGTGTAACTTAAATTGCAATTTTCATTATCATAACAATCAATATGAAATTCATGGCCATTGGTTATTTTGATGCTCTGACAAATTATATATGTACCCACAGTTGTAATTCTAATTTTCAACTTATAATTTTAGTGACCACAATAACTCCAGGCATACTCCTGCTAGTACATCAGGGTAAATCTACCCTTTGTCCTTTCCTCACAGTATCATGTTATACTCTGAGTATATCAACATATCTTATAGTTCTGATGCTAATAAGATCTTGTTTTTAAATGTATTTGGAATATGTAGCAAGATCAAAATGAGTTTTAGATGATTTTATTTTATAATTTTCATACTTGTCATACATGCTCGTGCCATCGAGCAATGTTCAGATTAGAGAGGTGTTTGAATATACATGTTTAACTTTATCAAGTTTTTTTGAAAATGTTGAACAATTGAAAAGTATAATCCTTCATCATTTTGCAACACATAATAGCATATTCTTTTCAAATGTGCTTTTTATATTATTTCCTGGTAAATGACGTTATTCATAATCATTGAAAGCTGTCACTTAGCAACAAGTTTTATTTGTTTTTCATCTTTGCATTGGAACCCAATTTCCTGTTTGAGGGTGTAAACTGTAAAATAGAGAATTGGGTTTACTTAGAGACTTACAATTTATATCGAACCTTATAATATTACTGGTTTAATACTGGAACATAGTGGGGGGGGGGGGAGGATCACAGAAATAAAAAATGTGGGATCTTTTTTGAAGCTGAATTGGGGAAGGGGTACGCCTCTTTTTATGTAGCTCCTCTTTCTTGAATCCTTCTTCTTTTGAGTCTGATCTTTATGAACCCTCTGTGTGCAATCTTTATGCTAAAAAAGATTCTGGTTCTGTATTTTCATATCCACTTTAGTTCCAATCATTATTTGTTCCACTGGGAAGATTTGATAACTCTAATGCCAATACAGAATATCGAGAGCAGAATATCATTCTATGATGTTTTTATCGTGTGATCTTCTGTATTGCTACTGAGAATGCCCCCCTCCCCCCCATACCAATATTTTCTGTATTGGGATCAATGGGGACAATCTCAGTCAGACAATACAGATTGGTACAGCACAAGAACTGACCATTCAGAAGGCTTCATATCACAGATCATATGATAAATAGTGTATCCTGCTTGTCTGAGCTTAGTACATTATGTAGATGAAACTCTCTTTTGAGTGAGCAAAATCACATTATTGGCAAAGGTAGTCTTCATTTTTTCCATTGAGAATATTTTGTTACTCAGAGCATCATGAATATAGCTTCGCATGTTGTAGATGACCAGATTGTTAATTGAATCCAGTGCAGGCTTTATGGCAAACCCTGATGAAGCCATGTTCATATTAGCTAAACTTTTTTTGGTTTAAACACTTGTGTATGGGTTCATTCCCTGTCACTTGGACTGATAGTTATTCATGTTTCAATATCTCCCTTGATCTTTTTAGAAAGGTGTTCATTCAGAATGGATTTTACAAATTTAGAAGGACATTTTGGGGTATTTGTTTCAAAGCAACATTTTTTAATCTGAACATATTTTAAATTTTGAAAGATAATCTCAAACTATCTAGGCCCTCTTTTACATTTTCTGACATATATTGTCCTAATTGAACTTTAATGTGTGGTTGAAAATACTAATTCAGAAAATGCTAAATTTTTTGCAATTTAGGACATGAATGTACCAAATTCTATTATTTTGCAGAGGATATCTTACCCTTTACATTCGTTTGACTTCACTTCTTAAAAGAGAGCTTCGTCTTCACTCTTTCAAACTAAAATAAACCTGTGAACCCACCGCGCCAATCAGTGTTTGTCAGCCAAATTTGACCGACGTTCTATATATGGTCATTCCTTCTGAAGTCATCATTGAGGCCGGAATTGACCAATGACAGCGCGTAGGTCAGAAGTGATTTATTACCCGAACTGTCACCGTTACCCGTCGTGGAGGCGGGGCTACTAAACTGTAATATGGTCTCTACTAGGCAGAGTGTAGTTTAACTAGACTCTGCACGCAGGGTAAGGATATCTCTACATCACTCAATGCAACATTACTTGTAAGCAGTGAATATGACTCAATCCTACATAATTACTTGTTACCTATTAGTAAAGTAACATTTTTTTGTTATTGACTTTTTCTATACAAGTGGAATTCAAGATTTGACATCAATTGACAGCGGCTTGAAATCTATCAGATGTGTCATCAATCATGTGAGACTAAAGCTTCTTATAATTAGTCACTCATAGTGACAGGAAAATAGAGATAGGGACTATCAGGAAATGGTAGACATAAACAAATTATTCTATGTATAATCATGGCTATTCTAAGTGTCTGAGCCAATTTAAGTCAATGAGTTCTCTTTTAAGAAAATGTCAATCCAAACTGTTGAAAGGGGAAAGCTCGATCAACGTCTTGTTGTTGTTAGATGGTAGGCATTTTGAGGCAGAGAGCTTAGGTTACTAATAAGTGATGTTACGCTGATCTATACAGGAATGTTACATGAGTAATGATAATCCATGTTGCCTAGATACACCTGTATATGTGTAGTAGTACAAGATATCCTATAGATCCTGTATAACCTGAATGAATGAATGTAAATTGAACATATTTTTTTCTTATTCCCTCACACTGTTACCTAAAAATTGATTTTTTAAAAATGTTTTTGCCACTTGGGCTTATACAAGGTATCAACGTGAGCACTAAGTCTCATCAAGTCAATATTAATCATTTAAGGACCAACCTGGAATATGGTGTAGATCATATCATTTTTTCATTTTTGGGAGAATCAGGTCTTGACAAGTCAACATTAATTAATTCATTGTTATATTTTCAGGAGAGTCTGGTCTTGACAAGTCAACATTAATCAATTCATTGTTATATTTTCAGGAGAATCAGGTCTTGGCAAGTCAACATTAATCAATTCATTGTTATATTTTCAAGAAAATCAGGTCTTGACAAGTCAACATTAATTAATTCATTGTTATATTTTCAGGAGAGTCTGGTCTTGACAAGTCAACATTAATCAGTTCATTGTATTATTTTCAGGAGAATTGGGTCTTGACAAGTCAACATTAATCAATTCATTGTTATATTTTCAAGAAAATCAGGTCTTGGCAAGTCAACATTAATCAATTCATTGTTATATTTTCAGGAGAATCTGGTCTTGACAAGTCAACATTAATCAATTCATTGTTATATTTTCAGGAGAGTCTGGTCTTGGCAAGTCAACATTAATCAATTCATTGTTATATTTTCAGGAGAGTCTGGTCTTGGCAAGTCAACATTAATCAATTCATTGTTATATTTTCAGGAGAATCAGGTCTTGGCAAGTCAACATTAATCAATTCATTGTTATATTTTCAAGAAAATCAGGTCTTGACAAGTCAACATTAATTAATTCATTGTTATATTTTCAGGAGAATCTGGTCTTGACAAGTCAACATTAATCAATTCATTGTTATATTTTCAGGAGAATCAGGTCTTGGCAAGTCAACATTAATCAATTCATTGTTATATTTTCAGGAGAGTCTGGTCTTGACAAGTCAACATTAATCAATTCATTGTTATATTTTCAGGAGAATCAGGTCTTGGCAAGTCAACATTAATCAATTCATTGTTATATTTTCAGGAGAATCTGGTCTTGGCAAGTCAACATTAATCAATTCATTGTTATATTTTCAGGAGAGTCTGGTCTTGGCAAGTCAACATTAATCAATTCATTGTTATATTTTCAGGAGAATCAGGTCTTGGCAAGTCAACATTAATCAATTCATTGTTATATTTTCAGGAGAGTCTGGTCTTGGCAAGTCAACATTAATCAATTCATTGTTATATTTTCAAGAAAATCAGGTCTTGACAAGTCAACATTAATTAATTCATTGTTATATTTTCAGGAGAATCTGGTCTTGACAAGTCAACATTAATCAATTCATTGTATTATTTTCAGGAGAATCTGGTCTTGGCAAGTCAACATTAATCAATTCATTGTTATATTTTCAGGAGAGTCTGGTCTTGGCAAGTCAACATTAATCAATTCATTGTTAATATTTTCAAGAGAATCAGGTCTCGACAAGTCTACACTAATTAATTCATTGTTATATTTTCAAGAAAATCAGGTCTTGACAAGTCAACATTAATTAATTCATTGTTATATTTTCAGGAGAATCTCGTCTTGGCAAGTCAACTTTAATCAATTCATTGTTAATATTTTCAGGAGAATCTGGTCTCGACAAGTCTACACTAATTAATTCATTGTTATATTTTCAAGAGAATCAGGTCTCGACAAGTCAACACTAATTAATTCATTGTTATATTTTCAAGAGAATCAGGTCTTGACAAGTCAACACTAATTAATTCATTGTTATATTTTCAAGAGAATCAGGTCTTGACAAGTCAACACTAATTAATTCATTGTTATATTTTCAGGAGAATCTGGTCTTGGCAAGTCAACACTAATTAATTCATTGTTCCTGACAGAACTTTACAACAGTGGGGACTACCCTGGACCATCACATAGAATTAAGAAAACAGTACAGGTATGTAATTAAAAAGCATTGTTTAGAACTTCTTGACCATTTTATAACTTCATTAAAATACATAGAAAATAATTCTCTCAGAGCATTTATGGAAGCTACATGTACTTAGTAAATCATTGTTCAAAAAAATAAAGATGCATACAGCCTAAAAGAACATTCCTTCATATCTTGGATCAAAATCTGTATTCTGCAATTTGGACTTTGTACTGTGTAGGTTAGCGTGTTGTTAGGAAATCACAAGGAGGGCTTAATACAAGACTACTTCTATATTAAGCTCAGAGTCATTGATTTTCTTAGAATCACTCCACATTATCTATTTAACACACTTCCTGTATTAAAAGAGTCTGGAGATTTTAGGAGAATATTATGACTTATGATATATTTATATTGTTTGGATTTGACATTCAAAATTGGGCATATCATCCTTTAAATAGTCAGACTAAGAATCGATTTATATTCATTATTTGTATTAATTGCTCATGGGTGATTATCCTTCCCAAAATATGTTTTAGCTCATAATAGAACAAAATAATTGATGAAATACATATTTAGATAGTATAGCATCATGTCTCTGGACCTCTCCCTGTATCTTCTAAAGTGATGTGTTAAGGGGGGGGGGGGGGGGGTGGATACAAGTGTTAGTGCATAGAGCAAGAGAGATGAAATGGACAACAAAGGAATATCTCAAAATGTTGTTGTAGTAATATAGGGGAGGGGGGGTGGATACAAGGGTTAGTGCATAGAGCAAGACTGAAGAAATGGACAACAAAGGAATATCTCAAAATGTTGTTGTAGTAATATAGGGGAGGGGGGGTGGATACAAGGGTTAGTGCATAGAGCAAGACTGAAGAAATGGACAACAAAGGAATATCTCAAAATGTTGTTGTAGTAATATAGGGGAGGGGGGGTGGATACAAGGGTTAGTGCATAGAGCAAGACTGAAGAAATGGACAACAAAGGAATATCTCAAAATGTTGTTGTAGTAATATAGGGGAGGGGGGGTGGATACAAGGGTTAGTGCATAGAGCAAGACTGAAGAAATGGACAACAAAGGAATATCTTCAAATGTTGACGTTGTAAGAAATATAGGGGAGGGGGCGGGGGAGGATACTGAGGGTTTCTGATCTATGCCCTGCCATAGATCAAGAGAGATGAAATGGACAACAAAGGAATATCTTCAAATGAGGGGGTTGAGGGGCTAATTAACAAAGAATATTTGCCTACAACTGAAAAGAAAACTGTTAAAACAATGTATGATAATACAGTGTTTGATTTAGAGTACTCTACTAAGAGCCAACTTCTCAAGTTTCAATCATCACAATGGAATTCAATATTTCTTACATTTAGTTGTTTGCTTTCGGTGTTACATTGTATATTCAGCAGGTTTTAAAAGTCTTGGAAAGATAGAGTATATGTTATTTAATAATGAGTTTTTGAGATTAATTTATGGTTCAGTTTCAAATTGGTTGATTTTGAATGATTGTCTTGCTAAAAATCGCCCATATAGAAAATATATCCGAACACCTCTCTAATTTGTCCACCTCTCATTGTGAATTTCAGTTGACCATATTTGATTGGGTAAAGATAGATCAAAGTTTATCTTATATAAAGAATAAAGTTAGAATCACAACAAATTATTATTAAAAAGGGTATTACCGAGCCAGTCAAAGTTTGTTGTTGAGAACGGACGACTTGCTATATATGGAGTTTGCATTTAGCATGTGTTCCTTCCAGTTTGCTGATTGGTTGAGAAAAGGTCAGCGTGGAAGGTTTGAAATAATTCATGACCCAGGCTGTCACAGGCACTGGTCATCGGAGTGGGGCTGCCAAATTGTAATATAGTCTATACGAGGCAGAGGGTAGTTTATAACTAGTCTCTGCGAGCAGGGTATTAACAATGCTGCTTGAACATACAAAAATACTTTTTAAAGTAATTAGTTTCTCATACATTTAAAAGAAAGATTCATTGTCATTGATTCTTTCAAGTAATTAGGTCCTCATACAATTAAATAAGAAATTCTTGTCATTAATCTCATAGTAAAGTAATTTTTCCATATTCCACAATCTGTTACTTCAACTCAATTGAATTGTGAGTTGATCTTTATATTTGACTCATTTGGAAATATTAATGAGGATGAAATTGTATAAACTTTTGTCCCACTTTTAATTCAAGTTAAGGATTGGATCCGAAAAATGATATTTGTTGGATTTTCCAAGAATTGCAATACATTTTCTTTATTATGGTAAAAGGAAAATCAACATGTTTATTTAAGGGAATTGATTGCTTACAAAGTTTCATTCCTTTAAAAAGATAGCTTCATTTGGAGTCTTTTGTTCAAAAAATATACAAACCAATGCTCTTTCCAAGGGTATATAGTATGTGTATGTAACTTTCCAAGGGTATATAGTATGTGTATGTAACTTTCCAATGGTATATAGTATGTGTATGTGACTCTCATAGTTTAAACTGTTTATATTTGTCCAATAGAGAATGAGTATTTAATCTGCACCTCAGGGTTGGGAAAACGAGATTTTATCAATATGCAGAAAGAAGCAGTAAATGTCAATGCGACCTCCTTGACTATGATTAAATTAACAGCTAAAGTGCATTTATATGTTTCAAATTATAATCTTTAATTAATAAATTTAGTTTAAATGACAGATATTGCTTTAAATGAACAGGGGTTGATGAAGACTTGTGTAGCTTTTCAGTGAAATTAGTAGGCTGTCTAGTGTCTATGTACCCTGGGCCTCTGCTAGCTTACAATACTAAACTCTGACTACTACAGGTCATTTGAATGATTTTTTCATTGTGATTTATTTTCATAGAAAATAATCAAATATGAGAGATTTGATGTTGTTAAATTAACATCAAATCTCTCACATTTGATTATTTTCCAAAGTGACATTATGGTGACATTATGTCACCACCAAAAGTAGTGACATAATCATTTTAGTCTCCAACTTTTTGTGACAGCATTGTCGGGCTGGCACCCTGTGGTCAGTGTTCAGTTTCTGTAACAAATGGCAGGTTGTGACATTTTGCATGTTAATACCTTATTTCACTTTAAATGACAGTTTGAATGTGAAATGTTCTATGTTAGCGACTTATATGCGAAAAAAAACAATGTCATGATATCCGAATGTGTAATTTGATTAGACACAGACTAAATCATAGATTTATCTCTAGTTATTTTAAGAGTCTAGCTGAAATCCAGCTATTGGAAAGAGTACTACAATGTTAAGCAATCAATGATTGGATTGGGCCAAATTTTTCTTTGTCTTCTCAATATGTGACACTTTATTGTTCTGAATGTATTATTTAAGAACAGATGCCAGATGTGTGTGCAGCCATCAATTCATGGAGCTTCAGACTATTTATCTACCCTTGTCAAGACCTTAACTCTATGTTCACTCTTAAGATCAGAATGATTCATTCATGTAATATCTAATCTAATCAGACGCTATATCACCTGTTAATAATCAATATTAAATTTATATTCATAGGCAGCCGCAATGAAAGCTATTTTTGAGATCATTAACATCTTAGTATCAAAACTTGAAAATCGTCTTCAAAAGTCAGAGGGTGATCCAGCTTGCTATTTGTGATTCAGAGTAAATTTAATTCAAAGATTATGTTATAATCAATGACGCATTAATAAGAGCTGGAATTGATAACAGATATATTTTAAGAATGACTGTTTGGATTTCTGTCTTCCAAGAAGTATTACTTACATTATTATGATGTTATATTCCAAAAATAAAACTTGTTTTTATTCTGGCTGATGGCTGAAATGACTCATATATCGGCTAATCTTGCCTCAGCAGGGGTTTCTCTAGAATTTCTCACAACAGGCTGAATAAATGAAAACAACAGGCAAAATTAATGGAAATCATAAATTTTTAAGTTTTTGGTACGATCGTGACTTTTTGGCATTCAGTTTTCCCTTTAAATGTACCTGAGGGAGGGGATGGTCAGAAGTCAGAAGCTAATAGCAGGCCATGATTTCTCATGATGGGGGGGGGTTGAGGCTATATTCGAGACTGATATCAGCCTGGCGTCTAAGGAGGGAGGGGAAGAGTGGTTAGTAGACAAAGTGATTCAGCTTTGTCTAATAAACACTATATGACCCCAAATGTCCCTAGCATCAATTTAAACAAATTTTCATCTAGCCTCACATGAATTGGAAAGCTAGAGATTATCCCCAGACAGACAGATGTAGAGAAGACACAACATGTCCAAACATCAAAATGCTCTTCATTCAAACATTAAACAGGGCATATCGGGATTTTTAAAACAACAGATTTGATTTCAAATGGCCATGTTGATATTCAGTTCCAAATCTACTGACCATTTCTTCTTAGGACACCTAATACAGTAAAACCTGTCTAATCTGAGCGCCACTGGGACTTGGGCATCCTCCTATCACAGGGCTTCAAAATCCAGAATATATTCTTTCTTTTTACCCCCTGCGATAAGCAGTTAGCATTTCCCCGATTAAGAACTCGCAATCTGAATCTGATTGGCTGTCGCAACACTGTGACAGTGGGGGGAAGAAGGAGGTAAGGATTGTGGATACCTGCTTAGGAGGATGTGACTTGGGAGGAGTCCAAATTTTGAAGTTTTTTAACATGAATGTCAGTGGTAGATTAAGATATTGGACTGAAAAATTCATTTTGAGGGTTGTTCAATAAATTGGAAGGATGTTCAATAAATTGGAAGAATGTTCAGATATACCGATTCTACCCCAGTGTACAAGCTGAAAAACTGTTTCGGACTTGTAAATCAGAATTATTTATGTTCCATGGACTTTGTTGAATTTATATCCTTTGTATTTTATAGGTAGAAAAGACGCAGGTTTTACTGAAGGAGGGAGGTGTGCAGCTGAGGCTAACAGTTGTAGATACACCTGGATTTGGTGATGCTGTTGACAATAGTAATTGGTAAGTTTGCCATGGTCACATAATCTGCAATGGTCACATTATCTGTGATGGCCGTACAATCTGCAATGCTCACTTTATATGCAATGGTCATATCATATCATCTGTGATGGTTATACGATCTGCAGTGATCACATAGTTTGCCATGGTCATATAATCTATCATGGTCACATAATTTGTAATAGTCGCATAATCTACAATAGTCACATCTGTAATGGTAATACAATCTGCAATGGTCCCATTATCTGTGATGGTCATACAATTTGCAAAGCTCACTTTATATGTAATGGTCATATTATCTGTGATGGTTATAAGATCTGCACTCAGTGATCACATAATCTGCAATGGTCACATTATCTGAATTAATGGTCATAGAATCATGCAATGGTCACGTAATATGTAATGGTCATATTATCTGTGATGGTTATAAGATCTGCACTCAGTGATCACATAATCTGCAATGGTCACATTATCTGAATTAATGGTCATACAATCATGCAATGGTCACATAATATGCAATGATCATACAATCTGCAATGGTCACATAATATGTAATGGTCATACAGTCATGCAATGGTCAAATAATATCTAATGGTCGTACAATCATGTAATGGTCAAATAATATGTAATGGTCATACAATCATGCAATGGTTAAATAATATCTAATGGTCATACAGTCATGCAATGGTCAAATAATATGTAATGGTCATACAGTCATGCAATGGTCAAATAATATGTTATGGTCATACAGTCATGGAATGGTCAAATAATATCTAATGGTCATACAGTCATGCAATGGTCAAATAATATCTAATGGTCATACAGTCATGCAATGGTCAAATAATATGTAATGGTCATACAGTCATGCAATGGTCAAATAATATGTAATGGTCATACAGTCATGCAATGGTCAAATAATATGCAATGATCATACAATCTGCAATGGTCAAATAATATGTAATGGTCATACAATCATGTAATGGTCAAATAATATGTAATGGTCATACAGTCATGCAATGGTCAAATAATATGTAATGGTCATACAGTCATGCAATGGTCAAATAATATGTAATGGTCATACAGTCATGCAATGGTCAAATAATATGTAATGGTCATACAGTCATGCAATGGTCAAATAATATGTAATGGTCATACAGTCATGCAATGGTCAAATAATATCTAATGGTCATACAGTCATGCAATGGTCAAATAATATGTAATGGTCATACAGTCATGCAATGGTCAAATAATATGTAATGGTCATACAGTCATGCAATGGTCAAATAATATGTAATGGTCATACAGTCATGCAATGGTCAAATAATATGTAATGGTCATACAGTCATGCAATGGTCAAATAATATGTAATGGTCATACAGTCATGCAATGGTCAAATAATATGCAATGATCATACAATCTGCAATGGTCAAATAATATGTAATGGTCATACAGTCATGCAATGGTCAAATAATATGTAATGGTCATACAGTCATGCAATGGTCAAATAATATGTAACGGTTTAATCTGCCAGCTATCCCAGTGCTAACATTAAGTGAAATAGAAATGTTCATGATTAAAAGATGGCATATTGGCATAGAACCTTGATGAACTAGACTAAATACAAATACGAACTAATACAGACACCTTTAGCACAATCTGCTGTTGTTGCTTGCAACTAAAGACATGCATTCTCTTTTGGTCACATTGTCTCCCATGGCTGCATAATCTATAAAAGTCGCATAATCTACCAAAGTCACTTGATCTCTTAATGGTTGTACAATCTATAATGGTCACATAATCTGTACTGGTCACATTATCTTTTAATGGTTGTACAATCTATAATGGTCACATAATCTGCAATGGTCCCATTATCTGTGATTGTCATGCAATTTGAAATGGTCACAAATTATGAAATGGTCGAATTTTCTGAGATTTTTATGTTATGAGAGGTTTCCGATATGGGGTATATCCTGTGGGAAATATATATATCTTAACGAGGGCCTGAAGAGTCCTACTTAAGATGTCATATTTCCCGAGGCATATACCCCATATTTCAAAACTGAGCATCACATAACTAATTTATCCTATGTATGTATGTATGTATATATTTATTGCCCTTTATATAAAGGAGATACATGTATACAATTTATGTTAAATTGAAAATAATCACTATTTACAAACAAACAATGTCGTTGCTTTTTAACTGACGACGACGCCTAGCTACCGCGTAGACGCACGCCGCCGGCCAAGATTGGCCTAGCACCTAATTGTAACGCAATTATAAAAAAGTAACTATATTTTACAAACGCTCATTGCTTTGTTGTTTGTTTTGTTTGTTTTTTTTGAACCGACAACGACGCCTAGCTACCGCGTAGACAAACGCCGTAGGTAAGTGAAGTATGATAAGTGAAGTTTCACAAGTAATGTATAAAACTTTTCTAATCAGAGTGTCTCTCTCTTGGACCAGTCAAAAATAAAAGGATGTTCGGTGCACATTTCAAGATTTTTAACATGGCAATTTTATTAATGGCAGATTTAAAAAAAATGAGACAGGAAAAAGTGTTCACATTGAGATTTGATCAGATTACATACGTGTCAGATATAGTTCTACAGGATTTGAAATCTAACGTCATCATTATTGAATAACCTGGTGATAGTACCATAGCTTATGACACTTTGGCGGGTTCCTTTCCGGTAGATTTAAATCATCAGACAAGATAATTTGTTTTTCCTGAATAACCACGCCTGAAGACATTGTTTGGCATCTGACTTCTCAAGTCAATCTGATGAGTTCATTTTGTCTGACACAGTCAGGTAGGTTATGGCAACTGTATTTTGAAGATAAAGTCATTCGGATCAAATTCCGTGGTGCCTTCTTCAATAACAGGCCGTCACATCATGGCTTGTCGCCATCCCGTATTTATAAGCTGTTTTGCTGGCTTTGCGTTGATATACACATTGTTCGAAAGATGACCCGTCTTGGAGACACTTTCTGTTTTAAATAATCTTAATATCAAATTATTTAGGTTCATATTGTGAGTCATTGACAAGTACTTTCTGACATACATATTGTTCCAAAGATGAACTGCCTCAGGGTATCATTAGCAGCAGGCAACAGGCGATTTTCACAGGTTGTTTTCACAAAATCGCCTGTTGTTTTAAGGGACTTTTCAAGTTTTCCATGTTAAAGGAGCACATAGGTTATCACAAACAATTTTATACAATTCTAACTCAAATGTTTTCTGATCATGAACATGGGTGTATCTTTTAGACCCATAGTGTCATCTTCAACAAAAGTGGATATAATGATGATTTAGTTAATCGGAGTGATTTTAAAGGGGCAATGGACCAATCATACTTTTTCAAAAATGTTTACCTAATTTTCACCAAAAATGCAACCTTTTTATATTGTTGATTGTTGAAACCTTTACGATTACCATTTATTTAGCCAGTTGTCAGAAAATATATCGAATTACTTTGTTTCACACTCCCATTGATATAAAATATTTGAGACAACGGCATTTTGCACTATTCATTTTGACATATGCCTTGTTCGGAATATGACTTGTCTCAAAGACATTTATTCCTTTTAAATAGATACTATTGAATGACGACACTTCGACTATACCTTCCTTGACATTAAACATTTGACACAATGGTGTATTACATTACTTTTGATACACACCTTGTTCGCAATATGACCTGTCATAAAGACAATATTCGTTTTAAATAGATCTTAATATTTAAATACTGCGCTTTAAGGCTTTACCTTCCTTGACATTAAACATTTGAAACAATGGTGTATTACATTACTTTTGATACACACCTTGTTCGCAATATGACCCGTCGTAAAGACAATATTCGTTTTAAATAGATCTTAATATTTAAATACTGCGCTTTAAGGCTTAACTCTCATAGACATTTGATATATGATGAGTCGAGGCTTCCTGCATTCGTGTAGACAAACACGTTGTCATGGTGAAACCAAAAGGACCTGGATGACATTTCATTTGAAATCTTAAATCTGATATCTGGTTAAACTATGTCTTGAAATTTCAAAAATTTTCAGGCCATGATGTTTCCAAAGTTTTCGATTTTGATTACTAAAATCACCTGGCACGCAGTAGTTTACTATATTAATGTCAATTCTAAAAAGCAGCGAAAAAGATTGGGTATACATAATATACAGATACTAGTTTTCTGCATGAAAAAAATCAAAATTCTGCAAAAAATTCTGCAAGAAAAAAAGCAAATTCTGCAAGGAGAAAATCAAAATTCTGCACAAATTTTCAAAAAAAGTCCAAATTCTGCAATCTTTTAAAACGAAAACGGAAGTCAGCTACTTTCTAGGTAAGAACTGCGCGTCATTAGCGAACTCGCTTTAGCCAATTTAAAATGGATAGAATGTTGAATTTCACGGTGAAATCGTACTTGTACTCAATAATGATTGATTGTTGGACATAAACAGACACTCTTCAAATACCCCGCAAAGGTAGGAGATCATAAAATATGTAATTTCTGGTAATTCCGCGGGATTTTCATGAAAATCAGGGATTCTGCAAAAAATTGAAGTTTTGTCAAATTCCGTCCACGCCGCGGAATTACGGAATACTAGTATCTATGACATATGTAATTTTGCATATTATAGAAAGGTTATTTTATAAATACCATATCTGTGTTTCCAGCCGAATTTATCAATGCCTTGCATTCAAAGAGCCAATGAAGAGAGGAGCATATTATACATAAATGAACCTTTGTATTTAGTAAAAAACGTTAATTTCAAAACATGTATCTACTTTCAGCTGGCAGCCAGTGATTGACTTTATTGATGGCAATCATAAACCAATGAAAGAGAGCAGAGAAGAGCATATAAGAACTGAACCTTTGTATTAAGTAAAAAACTTTAATTTCAAAACATTTATCTACTTTCAGCTGGCAGCCAGTGATTGACTTTATCGACGCCAATTATGATGAATACCTCAACTCAGAGTCAAGAGTCAACAGAAAGACAAACCCCGACAGTCGAGTACATTGTTGTCTATACTTCATAGCCCCAAATGGACACGGGTATGTATTGTCAATTAGAACACACCTAAATGTACTGCTTAAATGTAATGGATTGCAAATAGGAACACACCTAAATGTCAATTTTCCATAAATTTCAATATTGAAACTTAGGTAAACAGAATTAACCTCCTACATCTGGGTATGAAAACAGGTAATAAAGTGAAAAATTTGTAGGGCCTCAAAAAACTGGTCATTTTGGGCATAATTTAGCAATTTAGGCCTTATTTGGCCAATCTACCAAAAAAGGCCTTAATTTCCAAAGTTTGGTTTCAGGGGCCCAAATTTTTTCAAGACTCAAAGTAGGCACTCAGGATCTGAAACCTGCTACCTGAAATGGCATTACGGACCAGTTGCAACGTTAATTTTCCTATACCTAGTAAAAAATCAACTGGTCCATATCAGAAGCAACCTAGTAATGACCAGCAGACTAGCTCTGTGGGCCTAAACAGATTTGATGTTTAGGTACGATATAGTTCACCATCTGATTTGTTGACCCTGTAAATTGGACTCCATATGAATCTATGTCTATTTTCAGTTTGAAACCTTTAGATGTTGAGTTCATGAAACGACTACATGATAAAGTGAATATAATCCCAATGATTGCCAAAGCAGATACTATGACACCAGATGAATGTAGGGACTTTAAGAAAACTGTAAGTACTTGTCTCTAAGACCTTTAGAAAACAGTAATTTCTCTAAGATGTATAGAAACTGAAAGTATTTGTTTCCATTTTTTGATTATAGACAGAGTATATCATAAATCCAAAATTGTGTCAAGACCTCAAAAATGAAAAAATGCAAGTATTGTTTAATTGAAAGAAATTGAACACCCTAGTAAAGCTAATGTATTTTCTGTAAATTGCTTTTAGTTTAGCAATCTAGTGTCACTGTAACATTGTCATTTTGCTTTCAGATACTAAATGAGATAGCCCAGCACAAAATCAAGATTTATGAATTCCCCGACTGTGATGACGAAGAAGAAAATAAAGTACAGAAACGATTAAAGGTTGGATCATGAAAATAATGATGAAGAGTGTCAAGTTCAAAATTCATCAAGTTTATTGCCATGTCACTATTTTATCAGCAGATTATGTTACTAATAATTAAATACTGTACAAGAAATGACTTCTGGATTTCATGGTTGTATATGAATAAGTATTCTGTAATAGGAATCTGTTTATCATTCTGTGATATATTTTGTTTGAGTAATCATCATGGTGTTAAAGATCTGACATTGTTGTAATCTGATGTTGGGATCTGACATTTTTATGTCACCACCAAAAGTGGTGACATATTGTTATGGTCTCCGTTTTTTTTATGTCACCACCAAAAGTGGTGACATATTGTTATGGTCTCCGTTTTTTTCCGACGGCGGTTGGAGGTTGGCGTCCGGCGTCCGGCGTCTGTAACAATTTCTTACAACTTCCTATAACTTAACAAATACTGTTCAGACTGACTTCAATTTTTTTCTAAATCATCTACATATTCTCAGAAGTTCAAATCTGACTTTAGATTTGACATTTGACCTTCAATGACCTTCTCAAGGTCAAAAAGGTCTTTTTTCAACTTGCTTCACATTGACTAAATTTTTTTCAAAATCATCTACATGTTCTCAGAAATTCAAATCTGACTTTAGATTTGACTTTAGATTTGACATTTGACCTTCAAATCTGACTTTAGATTTGACATTTGACCTTCAATGACCTTCTCAAGGTCAAAAAAGGTCAAAAAGGTCTGTTTTCAACTTGCTTCAAATTGACTAAATTTTTTTTTCAAAATCATCTACGTGTTCTCAGAAATTCAAATCTGACTTTAGATTTGACTTAAGATTTGACATTTGACCTTCAATGACCTTCTCAAAGTCAAAAAAGGTCAAAAAGGTCTTTTTTCAACTTGCTTCAAATTGACTAAAATTTTTTTTCAAAATCATCTACATGTTCTCAGAAATTCAAATCTGACTTTAGATTTGACATTTGACCTTCAATGATCTTCTCAATGTCAAAAAAGGTCAAAAAGGTATTTTTTCATCTTGCTTCAAATTGACTAAATTTTTTTTTCAAAATCATCTACATGTTCTCAGAAATTCAAATATGACTTTAGATTTGACTTAAGATTTGACATTTGACCTTCAATGACCTTCTCAAGGTCAAAAAAGGTCAAAAAGGTCTTTTTTCAACTTGCTTCAAATTGACTAATTTTTTTTTTCAAAATCATCTACATGTTCTCAGAAATTCAAATCTGACTTTAGATTTGACATTTGACTTTTAATGACCTTCTAAAGGTCAAAAAAGGTCTGTTTTCAACTTGCTTCAAATTGACCAGATTTTTTTTTCAAAATCATCTACATCTTTTCAGAAGTTCAAATTTGACTTTACAAGTTCTCAGAAGTTCAAATCTGACTTTAGATTTGACCTTTGACCTTCAATGACCTTCTCAAGGTCAAAAAGGTCTTTTTTCAACTTGCTTCAAATTGACTAAAAAAAATTTTCAAAATCATCTACGTGTTCTCAGAAGTTCAAATCTGACTTTAGATTTGACTTAAGATTTGACATTTGACCTTCAATGACCTAACTAGGTGGTGACATTTTGTCATGTTAATGCCTTGTTGTAATCTGATGTTGGAATCTGTTGTAATTTGACATAGTGATATTTTGACACTGTTCTGGTCTGACATTGTTGTAATATGACAGTGTTGCAATTTGACATTGTTGTAATTTGATGCCATTTGATAGGACTGTTGAAATCTGATGTTGTGATCAGACAGTGTAACGTGACAATGTTGTAATCTTACAGCGTTGTAATCTGATAATTATGTTGTTTTAGGACAGAGTACCATTTGCTGTCGTTGGAAGTAATACAGTTGTAGAAAATAGTGGCAAGAAGTTCAGGGGGAGAGTCTACCCCTGGGGCGTCGTGGAAGGTAAGAATATCTCACAGGCTACGACATCAGCTATTGTTCATAAGCAGGATTTCTTACAAGAAAGTTGATGATGTAAAGATTGGCATCAGGTGCATCCCGACATAGTTAGGAATCTTATGCCATTTCTATATTTAAGGATGCAGTACCAGGTCAGCGTATAAAAAGTTCCAGACATTAGATTTTGCTCATATTTTTTACAATGTATCACTATGATGTTATCATCATCCAAGTGCAATATGAAGAGGATTGACCGTTTGGTAATTACAAAATAAAAAAATTATTTTACCCACCCAAAATGAATCTTTTTACTTTTTTGAGTTTTCAATAGAGCTGGCACCTTTCGAACCCTGGTTTTCGTATCCACTAATTGCGACTCAAGAACAAGTTTTCCCATAAAAGTGAAAGGGATAAAATATGCTTGATAAAATGTTTGCAATTTAATTCTTTTCTGGAAACACCATTATCGAAATAAACTATAATTTTTGAATAAGACTAAATGCGAAAATGACGTTCTTGGGAGCTAGCTTTCTCAAACCGGAAGTCAAACCTGCGCAAACAGACGTGAAAACCGACCCGGTACTGCATATGCATCCTTAAAGGATGACTGTGTAATTTCACAAAAAATAAAGATGACATTATAAACTAGGTGTCTATGGATTCTACTCTTTGCACTGACTGTATTGTAATTTTGAAAAAATTGCTTTGACACTCTAATTGGCTATTTTACTATACGTAATTTCATTTTTTATAAAAATTCATATTGTTTTGAAGTTCAGTATCTTGATTGTATACACAGTCAGGGAGATATGCCGATTACTCAATTAGTACAAAATTAGTACTAAATTAGCACTCTGGCAAAAGCGCTTATGAGCACTCATGCCACAAGTGCTAATTTAGTTCTAATTCATGATATGTGTACTCAACTAGTGCTGAAAAATCTATTTTATTAGTATCATTTTATCACTCATGATATGAGTACCAATTTAGCGCTAAAAAATTGTATATATATAAATTGTAATCGTATAAAGACTTTATGGACACCCTGTATTTTACTATACATATAATTAATTCGTTATTTGCTATTTTAATTGCATCGTTCACATTGTTTTTCAGCTGAGTATCTCTTTGCATTCAGCAAAAACACCCTGTATATACATATAATATGTAATTCCATATTTTAATCTCATCATTCACATTGTTTTTCAGCATTGGTTTCCAATATCTTGACAGTATAATTGAATAGAAAATGAGATAGATGACATTATACCAAATATGTAATTCCATATTTTAACAAGTATTTTTTCTTACAGTTGAGAATCTTGAACACAATGATTTCATTGCCTTGCGGAACATGCTCATAAGGTGAGTTGATTCTACAACCCCCTAAAAAGTTTGTTTCAAAATATTTACACTACCTTAGCCTCAAAAACTTATATAAATGTACATTGTATACTCAATACCTCAATATGTTTCAGTTTGTTTTTTATGTACACCCAAAAAGTTTGTTTCTATACGATGTACATCCCCTCTCAAAAAGTTTGTTTCTATACGATGTGCATCTCTCTCAAAAAGTTTGTTTCTATACGAAATACACCCACTCTCAAAAAGTTTGTTTCTATATGACGTACACCCCCTCTCAAAAACTTTGTTTCTATACGATGTACACCCCCTCTCAAAAAGTTTGTTTCTATTATATATTATATGTACACCCCATCTCAAAGAGTGTTTCTATATATTTCTACACTCCTCTCCGGTCCCACTTTTTTTATTTAATCTGCCATCAATAACCATATTTGTTCACTCAGCTCTGTAGAGCACAGTGAAGACCAATCATGCAAAGATGATTGAATACCACGAAATATAAACGAACACCTGCCATCTCCTTTTTGGCAGCCAAGTAGTGTTCAGGTTAGATACCTAAGTGGAACAATTTTTGGCAAAACGGAGGGTGTTCCCCTTACTCAGGCTCTACTGTATATATATAAAGAGTAAGTGAAAGTGTATATAGAGTAAGTAAAAACTGAGTAAAAAAGTTGCTGTCAATCAAATAAAACTTGTGTTTTTGTTACAGGACTCACATGCAAGACTTGAAGGACGTCACCAATAATGTTCACTATGAAAACTTCAGATATAACAAATTAGCCTCAGTCAGCGGCAAACAGAAAAACTCTTCCGGAAAGTAAGTCAAGTTTTTTATAAACCCTGCTATATTTTGTAATGTTTTTATCGCACTCCGAGAAAGCTAAATCTTGTTATCAAAATTCCAGGAAAATTGCTTATTTGTTCAACTTTTACAAAGTTTTACAAATGCAGGTGCAGACTTGTCCCAAGATTTGATTCGATTTTTGGGCATGCTGGGTAAATTTTGCTCCTAGACGTGCGATATTTATCACTGTATGTCTCGCTTTTTATTTTGTTTTTTTTGACTGACAGAGTTGGTGAATATAATAAAGGTGTCACTGTAAGAGAAAATACTTCAATGTTCAATGTTAATTGCTATGCATGGGGCACTGCAGGAAACAATTTCATCATATAAAAATGTGATAGTAACGCTTTTGAATTTTCTCATATCATGTACTATGAAATATTATTTTGCCAAAATACACAGCAAACCAAGGCGAATGACAATTAACTTTCTGAATTTAAGTTTCTCTTACTGATGTCATATTGTTATAGTCTCCAACTTTTTTGTGGACCGTTCAGCATTTTGCGCCTGGTGAATGGCGTTTGAAACAAATATAACAAATGGCAGGTTGTGACATTTTGCAAGTTTAATGCCTTCTTCTTACAAATGTTTATAGAAAGACTTGCATAAGTACAATATTTATTACTTTGCATGGGGCATTACAGATTATAATAAATGATATTAAAAAGTTGTAATGACAATTATTGAGGTTCATATCTTGTACAAGAAAATCTTGTCTCGTAAGAATACATAACAAAGCAGTAGTTCTGTGTTTCATAAGCAATGGGTTAGCATGTATCCATCCTCTTAAGCAGGTATCCAGAATCCGTACCTCCTTCTTCCCCCTGCTATATTCAATTTGGAAGTGCATGATTAAACTGAATCACGTGATCTAATTATAGGCAATGACTTATACATGATTTCTGTCGCAGTGTTGCGACAGCCAATCAGATTGCGAGTTCTTAATCTGGGAAATGCTAACTGCTTATCGTAGGGGGTAAAAAGAAAGAATATATTCTGGATTTTGAAGCCCTGTGATCAGAGGATCGCATGTGTCACTCCCCACAGTTTTCCTCGAGTTATAATCCTGAATTTTGCAAACGAAATTAGTGAATTCTGCGAGGGAAAAATGCCAATTCTGGGGGATTTCTCAGTGTTTTTATTGAAAATTAAGACATGGATAATGTTATAGACTAAGAGTTAATAACCCACCATCAAACTTTTGAGAAATGAAAGAACCAGATTTACAAGCGTTTTCATTTCAAAATTCAGTTTTAAATCAACACATAATCCTATGGTGGTGCATGCCTTACCTTCTCCTCAATGAACATTTAATTGGAAAATGTATTGTACGCTGGAGAGATATCCGAAAAAACATTGACAATTTCTGATTTGTAGTTTGTATTCTCTTTGCACATATCAGCGTTAATCAAATTTTGAGATGCTTTTTGATTGGTCAATCAACTTGAATTCACGTGCTTTCACTCATGCCGAGCGATAGCTCTTTTAAGAATTATTCCATGTTTTACATTATCATTATTGCCACCTTGCCAGGCCTGTTCTCGGAGTATAAGTTCTAGTTTAGAAGGCATTTATTCCACTATATTGACCTGGGCAATTTGTTACGTCATAGTGGCGGGCCAATAAGGCATTAACGCCCGGCAGTTTTCCCCGTGAAATTAGATATCGTTCAGTGCGTAAGATTTTCTTGTTATTTCAGCCCTAGGCATTGACGGTGGTAATAATACTAATAACGTCATTTCTGCGGGCAATATAGTGAAATAAGGAATGACGTTATTGTACTATTATATTGAACTTCATACGTTTCTGCTACCGATAATCAGTTCAATACAATTATGTATCAAAAAGACTTACATAAGTCCAATTTTTATTGCTATGCATGGGCCACAACAGGAAACAATTATAGATAAAAAAAAACATATGCCAATATTACTCATCAAAATTCTCAAATGTTGTTCTGTACAATATACTATTGTTGTTCTGTACAATACACTATTGTGTTTCTGTACAATACACTATTGTTGTTCTGTACAATACACTATCGTTATATGTTTCAATGCAGAACAAACCAACTCTAAGTTTCATAATCGAGGCCTGTTTTGTATGTCACCACGAAAAAATGGTGATATATTGTTATGGTTTCTGTTTTTTGTGATGACGGTTGCCAATCGGTGTCTATAACAATATTTTGAGCAACTAGGTGGTGACATTTTGTCATGTTCATGCCTCATTTGAAAGATTGCGAAAGGATAAAGGTTATACTATGTTATGTGTAATATGTACACAGAATTGAGTTGAATTTTTTTAAAAGGCAGGTGTATAAAAAAGCCTAGCTTAGGGGATTTCCTGTTTAGCGTGAACAGATTTATTAGGCAGATATATTTTTAATGAGCCTGTCTTAGATTTTTGTACATAACTAAATTACAAAATTATATTCTAGCCGGCCCAATTAAATAATTCTTATGAATGAAGCAATAATGATAAAATTGTTAATTGAATATTCAATATAATTTCCTCGCTTATAATTAAGTAAGATATTATGGCCTATCTCGGCAAGACGATTAAATTTCCAGATGCAATGCCGAAAGATGATTTGCCGCAACCCTGTCTATTCATTGTATATTTGTTTGAATTTATGAAATCCAATTGATTAAAAAATCATATGTTCAGAAATGATTCTTATTATATTAATCAAGCAGTAGTGGTAAATTGAAAAATATAAAAATAATTATTTTCTGGCAAATATTATGCAGTACCATATTATGAACTCTAGGCCTATTAGTATGTGAGGTAGCACCGAAAAATGTACCGGTGTCTGAACAAATTGAAATTACTTGTTTCCTATGTATTTTTATGTGATACTTCAGAAAATTTATGTCTGACGCGCCGTATCCGGGGCGAAAGTGGTCAAAATGGGGTTTTTGACCCTAAAAAGGAAAATTACAGGGGGGTACATTATCATCATTGAATAATTAATTCAGTTGATCTTCAATCATTATAATAATTTTATTGAGAGTTGATGAGATCATTCTGAGGTAGTATGTAAAGTTTCAATGGTCTGACACTCATGGTTGTCATGGAAACCACAATTTTTGATGAGAAGATCCATAATTTTTGTAAAATCTGTACCTTCACCTAATATAGAATGTGGATTATTTTTCAAATCAACAGATATCAAAACATTTTAGCATTCTCAAAATTACCAGGGGAGTTCAAACATTTATTCAAATATAAAGGATATTGCAATTAACATAACTGGTAAGTGTCAAAGACCATACAATTACATTAGGGATCAAAAGTGGGCGTTGCCCTTATAGTAGTAGATGATTGCCAATCTCTATAAATACAGAATTTTAGTTGACTTTTGAGATACATTTATAATGATGTTCTTTGGTTATACTTCATATCAAGCATTTTTGCTAAATAATGTACATCTAAGTGTTATACTTATTGCATGGGGGGAGGGGGTAGATGGGGGGGGGGTAACAGAATTGAAAGAGGGTAGAGCTAATCACCCTTAAGTACAAATCTCATCTCCATAGTTCTGAATTTCATGGGTTACATCGTCCGGGTCTTCTTCACATTCATCTCAATATATAGGATATTATAATTCTGCATGATTGGTAAGTATAAAGACCATAGAATTACCCAATTGATCAAAAGTGGGCGTCGCCCTTATCAAAGTCAATGATTCATTCTCTATAAATACAGTCTAACTTGACTTTTGAGATACATTTTCATTACAACTTCTTTGATTATACTTAATATCAAGCATTTCTGGTAAGTAATGCACATCTAATTGTAATAGTTCTTGCCTGGGGGAGATTGGGGGAGAGTAGTAACAGAATTGGGAAAGGGCAGAGGTAATCAGCCTTAAGTATAAATCTCATCTGCATAGTTCTGGATTTCATGGGGTACATCGTCTGGGTCTTCTTCATATTCATCTCAATATATGGGATATGACAATTTACATGATTTGTCAAACACCATACAATTACATATTAATAAATGATCAAAAGGGGGGTGTCATCCTAACAATAGTAGATGATTGGTTCTTTGTATAAATACAAAATTGAACTTGACTTTGAGATACATTCATAGTTATACTGAACTGCTGTTATTTTAATTTATGTCAAGCATTTCTGGTAAATACATCTGTGTAAGTATTATAGTTTTTACATTGGGGCGGGGAGGAGAGGTGAGTCGTAACAGAATTAGAATGTGTAGATCTAATCTGCCTTAAGTATAAATCTCATCTTCTTAATTCTGGATTGCATAGAGTACATCTTCTGGGGTTTTCTGATTCCTCTCCTGGTGTTGCTATATCACCAATCTCTTATCTGAGAATATCAGTCAATACCCATTATAAAGATGGAGTCATCTAGTTTCCATTCAAGTCCATCTGGTGGTTCAATATGAGGATTTGCAATATGGGCCATACAGACAATAAGTGCTTTTTATGGATGAGATGGTTACAACAATCAGGCGGTCCTTCATAAGACAAACTTAGGAATATTATCTAGAGATGAGATGAGTGTGACACCCATTATGACCTTGGAAAGGCACAAATATCAAGTACAGAAAAAGACATAGAGTTTCTTGATCCATTTACCATTGAGGATGAAGGTCATCTCTACGGTCTATCATAAGGAAAATCTGTGCCAAATGATGTCGCTGTCATCTAATTTTAGTCAAAAGGAAAATTTGCGATTAGTTGAAAAAAAGAGTTCACGATATAATAAAACATATGAAATTGAAAACTACAGCAGCAAACTACAGCAGCAACAGTGACAGTAAAAAAGTACTCAGAACAAGCTTATAAGATGGTTCAAATTCATTCTGATTCTGAATGAAACATCTTTGAACAGCTTCGATCTTGCTTAGGAACATAAAATTAGCCTAGAATGTCTCCTGCAGTTCCTATTGAGCCCTGTGCCTTGGGCTCTAGGTACACTGACTGGACTTCTTGCAAG